TTACACGTTCTTGAGAGTACGAGTCGTATACTCTTTAGTTAGTATAGACTGACGACGATCTCTGGCGCTGGGCTAGTTTTTTCTTGGCTTTGCTTTTGTATATAGACGATGGGATGGTGGGAATTTCCGTTAGTTTTTGCCATTCGATTGGCTGCTATCGTCTGATCTCTCCCCCGAGTCGGATCTAGGCGTTGTCTCCGAGAGCGAAGCGAACAAAATATGATATTTACCATATATCGGAATGTGTATGTGTATGGGAGAGTCGATGGGGTAGTCGCTGGTATATATAGTATAGTCGAGAGGGTTCGCTTTGTTTGGTGGAAGTAAACAGATTTCTTTATTTATTTTATTATTAATTTTTAGCTTTTCCATTCTCGGAGACCCATGGCAGAATATTTGTTCTTGGTTTTTTTTTTATCGAATTACATATCACTAAATCACTAAAAATCAAAAACAGAAATGATTTCTTCCTATTGATTTTCTCCTCTCCTCTCCTCTCCGTTTTCGTTTTCGTTTACTTAATAGATTGGTTTTCTTTTAGAATATCGCTACGAGAGTTGGTTTTAGTAACCAAACACCAAATGTGTGTGTGTTGTTGTTGTTGTTTTTTTTTAGTTTTCGACTAATCGTAATCGTTCGTTCTTGTGTGTGTGTTTGGTTTTTCTGCACAATTTCGTTAATTGCTAAACAAAAGTTCGTTTTTCTTTGGAGTATTTTTTAAAAAGATTCCTATGCATTTTTGTTTGTTAAGAAATTAGCAGGCAACTTAGAGAGTTCGAAGAACAAAAATAGTCAACACCATCAACCATCAACCATAGTCAAAATCTTCATAATTAGAGTAATCATAATAAATTTATCATACATACATACAAGCTCCATATTTATGTTTATGTTTTTTGTTTTTGTAAGTTGTTTACTTGAACTAATTTTAAATGTTTGATTTGTAATTTAGAATTCATTAATATACTTTGAGTTTCTGTTAGAATTTGCTAAGAGTTCATTTAGTTAGTTAATGCTCCAATTCTTTAAAGCCTGTCCTACACACACACGTACACGTACATATACATTTAAATAGGGGTTTCCTTTGCTAACTTAGTTCTTGGAAGAAAGTTCTTTATTCATTGTGTAATTTCAATAAATTTTGATTAGTTCATTTATGACATTATCATTAAGAGAGATGATGAGAAACTGAAACCTTTTAGCTATATACTCGCAGATGGGGAAAATCACACGAAACGGTGAAACGGAAGGGTATACATATTTAAGTGGAGTTGAGTTTAAGTTTGCTGATGATAAACCATATAGGGGACAGCCGATGAAGATCATACCTACTAAACTACGGACCATTTAAAAAAAAAAAACACGAATTTTTTAATAATATTTGTATAGTTTCCTCCTTGGTTTTTGTTCCTACTTTGCTTTCTTTCGTACTTTCGTTATATTCTGTCGTCTATATGTTATTCGTTTCCTTTGCTACACAAATCATTGGCTGTTAAAATCTGTTTATTGTGTTCTTTTTTTTTGTCTTTTGTTGTTGGACCCCATGCAACTTGCTTGAGTTTCCTCCCCCCCGCCCTCATTCCTCCACTGGTATTTGAACTCCGTTTTGTATCCAATCCCCTGGGTATTCTAGTACTTTCGTCCAACTATTTTTGCAATTCTATGCTATTATTTATGTTCACTTTATTAAAACATACACGGTAAATTCCTCTAAAATGCTTCGGTTTCTGTTGTTTCTTTTTGCTGTTGTCTTGTCACCTATATAAAGTAAATAGTGTTGCATATATTATTATTATTATTATTATTATTATAATTCTTATACGGTTTATCTATTTTATTAACGGGTCTTCGCTAATCAAATCCGACTGCGCCGCCTTCAGAAACTGGGTTCGGTCGGCACTTTTATTTTATTTGCTATTTTTTATTTGGTTTTTAATGTGCTTTTTTACATTTTACACATTGAGAGATGTTTGCACTTGAATCCGCAAATGTTTATCGTTAATTAAATATCATTCCCATTCGTTAAACTCGAAAATCAGATTTTAGAGATTACACTTGTGTTTCGATTTTAGTTTTAGTTGGGTTTGTCTTTCTTTGTCTTTGTCTTTATCTTTTTGGCGACTACACACACACACATACAGGACAATGTCTACAAACGAATTCAATTTCAATTTAGTTTAAAAACTTTTCAAGTTAGACTAAACATAAATCAACTTGATCTTGATTTGGATTTGGATGTGAATGCGGATGCGGATGCGAATGCGGATGCGATTGGGACTGCGGCAGATGCTGATGCTGATGCTTATGCTGATGCTGAGGATTGGCCGTGTGCTGGCTCAGAACGAGGCCTCCACCAGGTAGGTGCCATCCATGGGCTGATTGTTTTGGCTGTTTTGAGCATTGCTGGCAGCTGGCATATACTTGCCGCAGGCCTAAAAACGAACGAGAACGAGAACAAAGCGGGATTGCATTAGGGCTTCAACGTATTTCAAGGCACAATATTGATTAATGATGTCTGTAGAGTATACATATAACTGAGAGTATGAATATGGCTAAGAGACGAAGCGCGCGCCCAAAAGTCGACTTCACTTTTCATCAGAGTTTCTTGCGAGTCTGTGCGAGTCTTTTAGGCTGCACGCGAATGCTGTTTGTGTTGGTGTTGGTGTTAGTTGTGGGGGGGTAGAATACACAAACAAATTCATACACAAGTAGGTAGAACAAATTCAACACACAAACTATATATAATAAGTATATGTTTACAGAGGGAGTTACAGAAAGCGGTTGTGAGACCCACCTGCAAATGCACTCAACCCCCAATTGTTGTGAGGCGTTGAGCCAAGTTGGGGGCGGGGGGTGGGGGTGTGGGGTGTGGGTAGGATATATACAATAGTGCTTACCTGGTAGCGCTGGGAGCAGCAGCGACCGCAGCAGGACTGCAGCAGGCCGGCAGCACTGTGCGTCGAGTGGGCGGGACTGGCCATTGGCGAGGGCGAGCCCGGCCGCTTCGGCTGTCCGTTATAGGGTATATCTAACTCGACAAATTCTCGATCCTTTAGTGGTTAGTTTGGTCAGAGTTTTTTGAGCATTGAGAGGTGTGTACAGCCAGAGAAGAATTTTACAAAGAGAAACGAAGAATACATAGAGTACAATATCTTTTTTGGTCTGTTTTGTTTTTTGTTTTTTCCTTTGTTCAGAGGTTTTTTTAGTTCAACAATTTTACAGTAAAGAAGGGCTATAGAGGGGTTTTATTTTGGGTGGGTTTTGGGGAAGTTTGGGGGAGGGGCTTACACACACGAACATAGAACACAGGACAGGGTTAAATACATACAAAGAAATATAAAAATACTTAGAGCGAGAGTTTCCATCTCTTTCAAGTCAAAAACAACAATTAGAACATTAAGCGGGGTTTATGGGTACGGGGGACTGAGGGGAGAAAGGGTATTAAACATTTAAACGCTTAAAATTCTATAATGGGTATAGAAATGATGTTTTCTTTTTTTTTGTTTCTTTGTTGCGGCTCCTAAGCAATGACAATTTTACAATAACACAATAAACACTATAAGAACAATTTGTTAGACAGCCAAACGGATGGGGGCGCTGGGCAGCGGGCAGCGTGTTGGGAAGAGCAATAAATGCGGGCTTGGGCAAGGGCAGGGCAGAGCCGAGCGGGACGAGGTAGAAGCAAGCGCCAGCCATTTTTCATTCGTTTTTCAATTGCTAGCTGTTAAAAACGGTTTCGAGCAAAGTGCGATTTTTCGTTCATTTTTTCAGATTTCATTTGCAAGCTGTTATAAACGCGTTCACGTTTTATGCGTTTGTTGAGTGCGATTTTTCGTACATTTTTCTGATTTCATTTGCCGCTGTTAAAAGCGCGTTCGCGTCTATGGCCGCCCAAAAGCGATTTAGATTTTAGATTTATGACGGATCCTGTTTTATTTATTTGTGGTTTTAGGTGAGGAATTTGAGTGCTCATCAAGTGGTTTACGGCTAGACTACTGCTGTGGAGCATACACATGAACGGCTAGGAGCCGTAACGCACCGAGTATTATTAATTTATAATGAAAAATACACCAGACAACAGAGTAGCTCAGTTTGGGAAATTTGTCTGTACTTTTGAAACGGCAATCTACCACTTATAATACGGTTATGAACCAATTTCAAAACAATAAGACTGCTTTTAGAGGAATTTTCAGGAAATCTCCATCCAAATTATTTAAACACAAAAGTTATACGAAAACAAATTTTTAACACAATCAGAGCACATTTAAAAAAAGATTCGGTCTTGAATTGCTCACTAATAAAATGTAAAAAAATAAATTGAATAGTTAAATGGACTTTTTACGAGTATGACCACTTGAGTGGATTTCCATCCACCCATTTTGGCCACTTGATGAGCCAGCTCTCAGCAATCCGAATTGTTTATATTTTTTTGGGATGGGGTAAAGTTTTTAGATTTTTTGGTTTCTTGTTTTTCGTTTTTCGTTTCGTTTTGGGCTTTATGTTGACAGCAATCGATTGCATATGGCCAAATGGTCGTTTCCGAATCTTCATGATATCATGGGGGTGGGAGGGCTAGAGCATTCTCATATCGTTCGGTTCAATGCTGTTCGGTAATGACCTATTCAAAGAACTTGAAACAGAACAGAGCGCATAGCATTCAACACACAAATCGTTTGCTTTCAATAGAAGGAATCGAAAAACAACATATGTATGGACGTACAACCAAGAAGGAAACCAAGAAAAATAAGAATTGAAAATCATAAAAATTAATTGCAACGCATAAACGATAGATAGAGATAGTGAGTGAGTGAGTGAGTGAGAGAGATAGAGCGATAGAGATAGAGAGCAATAGATACAGAGATACAGAGAAAGGGATAGAGTTAAAGATAGAGAAATATGAAGGAAGAAACAACGGAACTGAGGTACAAACCGAAAACACTTACTTTTCTGAATTAATATTCGTTTATCAAAGGTATAGACAATTGATTTTAATTGCGTTTTTTTATTGCTATGCATTATATTTGGTTGATTCTGCTCTTGAAACGCTTGTGCGAAAAACATGACACAAATGGAAAACTTAGAACATATTAGATTGCACAACTTAAGAATTGTACCCCCACCCCACACATAAGAACCGAAAATATAATAATTATACATAAACAATTCGTAAACAAAAGTACGCGGATCTCATACAAAAGATTGGCATTTCAGTTCAGTTCAGTTCTCTCTAGGGTTTTTTGTTTCACGAGCTTCACGAGCTTCTCGAGTTTCATAAATGGGAGACTCGCGCGGTTTCTGAATCCCAATCCCAATCCCAATCCTTTTTCTTTTCTTGTGGCCACATGACAGGACTGCAATGGGGCTCTGGTAGTTGTTCTTGCTGTGGTTGTTGTTCTGGTTGTTCGGGTTGTGGTTGCTGTATGTGGCTTTGTCATTGCTTGCCTAACGAGCTTGAGGCAAAGTGTATAACTTTGGACTATTACAAGGATGTTCAAATGTGGCTACATCTGTCGCGGGAAAAGTCCAAAAGAAACAAACGGAAAATGTACAGAGAAAGTTTGTGATAAGTAAATGAAAATCAAATGATAAGAGCAATTAATAAATGCGCGATAGAACCATAAATATATTTATATAGAGAGAGATATATATAGAGAGATGTAGAGAGAGAGCCAGAGAGAAAGCCTTGGATTGCCACATCGATTATACGCACCGTTGTCTTCTCCAGACATCTCAACAAATGGTGGTGCTGCAGCTCAAAGATATCCTCATCCCTATAGTTGTCATCCAGCTCAATGCCCGACTCCTGGGCCGCCCATCTGGCCTCGGCGGCCTTCTTCTTGTTGACAAAGGCAGCTCCCGACGAGGCCTTGGCAATGCGGATGCGCGCCAGGCGAGCTTTCTGCAAGACCAACAAGAACATTCATGAGATTGCGCGAATTCTGAGAGGAGGATCTAGCATTTTCTCTTACCCGCTGTGCCTTGCGCTTGTCCGACCTCTGATTCTGGTGATAGATTCTACTAAAGTTCGATACGATAACAGGTACAGGTAAGGCGATGACCAGCACACCGCTGAGTGAGCAGACGCCGCCCACTATTTTGCCAGCTATTGTCTCCGGCACCATGTCGCCATAGCTGGAATGGTGTGGAAAAGTGTGAAAAGCTGAATGAGTATCATATCCGGAGGTGTAGAGTGAAAGAGGGAGACTTGAACTTACCCGAGCGTCGTCATGGTGACTATGGTGTACCAGAAGGCCGCCGGAATCGATGTGAAGTTTGTGCCGTTCACATTCTTCTCGGCATAGAACATGACGGTGGCAAAGATGATGATGGCCATGGCCAGCGAGAAGACGAGGAAGCCCAGCTCGCTGGCGCACGACTTGAGCGTGTAGCCGAGGATGCGGAGACCCTGCGAGTGGCGGGAGAACTTGAAGATGCGGAAGACGCGAAAAACTCGCAGCGTGACGAAGGCACCGCTGACGTCGTCGTTGTCTGTGATGCCCAGGCCGATATAGTAGGGCAGGATGGCCACCACGTCGATGATGCTCATCACGGAGCGCACGAACTTGCAGCGATCGGGTGCGGCGAAGAGCCGCAGCAGATACTCGGCGCTGAAGATCATTACGCAGGCGGTGTCCAGGCAGAAGAAGACGATCTTGTAGCGCTCGCCGCACGGCAGGGTGCCAGCCCGGCCCGGCCTGTGTCCGCACGGGACCGTCTCCACCACGTTGGCCATCACGGAGACGGCGATGAAGAAGCCGGTAACGTAGTAGAAGACCAGGGCGCTGGTCGACGTGTGCGGATTCTCGAAGGCACGCCACATCTTTTGCCGTATGTTGGTCAGCTGCTGCAGGTTCTGATCCCCGTTCTCCGACAGTTTGTCGTCCATGAGGCGCTCGGCATTCTCTCGCTTCCGGTCCCGATAGTCCTCGTAGCAGCAGTCACCAATCACGTCCGGCATGATGCCGAAGAAGGCCAGCTCCTCGTCATAGCTGGTGAGGCATTCGTGTTTTGGATAATGCAGCTTGCCCGTCCGGTAGTAGTTGAGTATGTGGCGGAATATGTCCGGATCCCGGTCGAAGAAGTACTCTTTACAGTCCTCGTCATAGAAGAACTCCCGCTCATTGGAGCCGAGCAGCGTGTCCGGGTACTTCTCGAGGGTGTTCCTCCAGGTCTCGAAGCGGCGGCCGGATACGTTGATCAGCAGCTTCTCGTCGTCCGTCTTGCGTCGGTCCTTGGGCACGGGGGGCGGTGGCAGTGGAAGGGAGGCTATCGGCACCCAACCGATGGCCGCCGCCCGTGCAAAGGGAAGCCAAGCGGCGACCGAGGCCATGCTATTGGGTGGAATGTTTCAGTGTCCCGGTTGTCGTGCAAAAGTGGGTGGCTCTCGCGGGCTATCTCTCACTCTGTCCCTTCCCTTTCCTTTGCACTCTGCTCTTAATCGTCCTGTACTGTTGTCCTTTTTCAGGGTCCTATCTACCTTCTCCTATTTTTTTCTTTGGCAGTTGAGTTTGTGCGGGTTGGTGGCGGGGGCTGGGAGAGCGGGGGGACTTCACTCTCTCTCTCTCTCGTTCTCTCTCTGTTTCTATATATGATTAACTCCTAAATTAAAGCTTTTTTTCTGTTGTCCAGCTCTTCGTCGGCTTCGGCTTCTACCTCACCTTTGCTCTTGCTTCTGCTTTTGCTTTTGCTTTTCTTCTTGCTTATCCTTGAGGCCTGCTTATTGTGTGATGCGTGCATTTTTGAACTGCTTGCCAAGCAGTGTTTTATTGCTTAAACTTATTGCTGTCATTTTTGCTCTTATTGTAGTTTTTGTTGCTTCTGCTTCCCCTGCTTCTCCGTCTGCTTCCTCTGCTTCTGCTGCTCCTGCTTCTGCTGCTGCTGCTGGCTCTTGTTTTATTGTTCGCCGCGGGGATATGAAATGTTTCCTATGTGTGTACTCTATCTAAGTTTCGTTGTGCAGCAGCACTGCAAAAGAGAGATGGAAAGAGAGTTGAGTTGAAAAGTTTTGCGGGAGTTTTAAAACAAGTTGTCACTGGGGAGGGAGCCGGTGGCAGCGCGGGGGATGCCATAGCTCAACGAAAAGTTTTACACACACCCATTCATACCCAAACTCGTACACATGGAAAAATGTAATTACAGTTAAAAGTTTGTCTGCCATTTCAAGGTGTAACCTTATTGTGAGCAAAAGTTGGTATTTTTACTATTAATTAAGAAAATTAAAGAACACAAAATGAAAACTTTTAAGGAATAAATATTGAAAGACATAAAATGTATGGCTTTCAAATTATAAGTTTTTATTTTAGTAAAGGATGACATTATAATTTAAAACTTGTTTGCTTTTCAGGCGTTTAAAAAGTTTTCCTAATTTCCATTTAAACAATAGACCATTAATACTTAATCTACTATCGAATTCGTGGAAGCCATCAACCCCTTAAGAAAAGCATTTAAGTGTGGGCTGGCATTGGGTATAAAATACACTCACATTTGATTTAATTTCAAGAAACTGTTTGTAATTTCACTTCAATCGGATTGTAAAGTTTATGGGGAATCCCAGGCAATAGAATTTCGGACTTTCTCAAAGCATAAATATTATCATAAATCTGCGGGAACAATACAATAGGAATACACACACACCCACACCCAAAAAACACATCGACCCACTCGTCTATTTCTCGCTTCACTTGTTTATATTATCAATTTATCGCAGCCCCCTCATGGAACCCCATTCCCTCTCTGGATATATGTACATACATATATAATGATTCACAGCAGCAGAAATCGACAGACAACGCCATTCAATGCGTTTTCGGGCATCGTTCTGTCTAAATATTTAAACGAGGCAAACACAATCGAACTGGGGGGAATCGTAGAGAAGGGTTCTGTTTCTGTTTCTGGGTCTGTTTCTGCTGGTTCTGCTTTACGAGTCCAGCAGCTGAGACCATTTTAATGGTTCGAACATACCAACGGAATGACCATTCGACTGTCTTCCATCTGCCTAGCTCTGGGTTTCTCTGGTGTGGTTTGGATTCTGGTTTTGGTTCTGGTGCTGGTTCTGGTGCTGGTTCTAGTTGGGGATTGTAATGGGCATGGGAATGGCCCGTCAATGAGTGGATGGGATGGGATGGGATGCGTGGGTGTCTTTGGTGGCCTGCTCTGCCAGGCGCAAAGCACAAATTTATGTGCATTTCTCTAGACAGTAAACACCCTGCAAATTTCCTTTAGGCCACAAGTCATTTTGCCAACGACAATTAAAACGCAAAAACTTTTGCCATCGTCTCTGTGCTCCCACATCTCATCGGTCTCCGCCCCCCAGTGAGGGGAAACTGTGACAAAAAGTCATTTGTTTCCATGAATGTCAGGGCATGGCATGGCTCTTGAAGTCTATATAATGTGTGTCTTTGATTTATATAATATTTATGGCTCTGCCACTGGCACTGGCAATGGCACTGCCAAGACGGTTCCACTGGCCAAGTGCACATCGAACTTCATCCATTTGTGGTAGTAGAAGGACCCATCTATATCACCGAATGGTGGGCAAGAGTGTTTCTATATTCATGGCCGCCTGTCACATCCCTGACGGCCCCTGAAAAGGGGTTCAGCGGGAGCCTAGAGCAGGAGAAGATATTGCCATAACAATAGCCGTTAGGAGTTATTAGTTATTTGATGGCTGATTTGAGCCGCTGAGACACGCCATGGCCACAAGGAGGAAAGATAAGGTTGGACAAGGTTACAGGGTTCCTTGCCTCACGTGGATTAATGGGTATGGGTTTTTGTTTTTCTTTGGCTTGTTTTTGGACTACTTTACATGCGAAATGCATATTAACGATTGTAATTCGATTGATGGCTGTCAATACTTGTTTGTCTTTCGGAAAGTGATTATTTATTTTGTAATTTACTTGCTGTTTTGTTAGTTTTTAACATTGCATACACCACCATTGAGCACATTCATGTCAATTGATTCAGTACCAATTCGAATTGATTTTTTAACATTTTAGGTCTGTCGTATCATTGATATCATTCAAGAACTTAGCCCTTGCATTCCCTCAATAGCTTTTACCTTGCAGATAATTGTGGGAGATCCATATGTACCATGCCAATACGTTTTTGAGTACATTAAGCGATGAAGAGTCAAACATGCTGACAGTTTGCACTTTCTTTGGACCCACACCGACACCCACGAGCAGAAAACATCCTGATGCCGTCCCAGAAACCCCACTCCCCAATGAAACCACTCCACCACTCCCCCACCAGTGTACCATATCGGATGCCAGAGAATGGCAGACAATGGGCCATGGATTCGCCCCAGAGGTCCGTCGTGTCAGGCCTTAATGTTTTAATGCCACATTATCCTATCAACAATGTTCCACTATGGATTGACGTTCGTCGTAGTCGTTGACCTTGCCTTGGTTTTTTCGCCGTGGACGAAATGGAAATTAATCAATGCCGTTTTCTCTGCCCCGTCTCCTGTCCTCTGTCCCCTGTCCTCTGTCCCCTGTCCACTGTCCTCTGCCCCTGCTGACGTTGATGTTGATGTCTGGATGTCGTTAGGTTATACAAGGACCAGGATCCATTCACGTATTCTGTGCGTGTTGTGTGCCATCAAAATAAATTGTCAAACATCAAATGGGTGCAGTGGCAGGAGGAGGAGCCCTCCAGCAGCCCCAGAGGCAGAGAGAGAGCGCGAGGCAGCAACTTAGGGCCGGGCCGCTGGCAGAGAGTCAGGGACCAGGGGCTGACGTTGACTTCCGCTGGACTAAAAACAAAGGCGCCACATGTCCTTATTATATTTCTTTTTTCGTCTTTCTGTAGGCTTTCATTAATTATTTGCATAGTTTATTTTAGTTTGCGAGCAGCAGGGCAGAGCCATATTATTCGCCAGTTATTTGGCTGCTGCCTTTGGGAACAGTCCGTCCGAACAGCGTCCGTCTCTGTCTCCGTCTCAAGGTTAGACTTTTGTTGTACCTTTCCACGAGAGTGGGCGGCGCAAAAATGGCCCTGCATACATCTGTCCATCCGTTCACACTGTGCTCCCATCAACCGAGATTGTAGATCATGAGTGGGAGGATTTGGACGCGGTCTTGGCTCTTGCGACAGGCCAAATAAACATTTCAATCAAATTCAAATTCAAATTGAAGGTGAATTGAATGAACTTTTCGTGGTTCAATATTCTGTGCGAGAATATACAGAAGAACGATGAACCGACTTAAAGTTCATTTCGTGGTACATTTTGTTGATGACAGAAGGTCACTTTTCTGACCTTTATAAACAATTTTTGCTGATAGAAATATAATCTACAAATACGAGTGAATAGTGTTGAGCGATTATAAATCAGATATTTCCCAAGGGAAATTCTAATTGATGTCCAAATAACTCTCATTAAATTTTCACACACATTTCCATAGCATACTTATCCGAACTGAGTAAACACCATAAATATATAAAATATTCCCCCGAATTCATTCAGATAATTATCATCTGTCTGTGCCTTTCAGGGCATATCAACTTCTTTGCCTTCTCATTACCATATTTCCCTCCACTTTCACTCTTCTCGGTTTCCTCTGTTTCTCTATTTTTTGTTTTTTTTTTTTGCATGTTCCTGTTGTTGTTGTTGTTTATTATACGAGTATGTATGTAGGCCCTCAACCTCCCCTCGGGACCATTCCATTTAATTCGGGCGGCCCCAAAATGCTAGTTAGGCATTAATGTACGAAATACACGAAAAATCTACGGAAATCCTGTGAAATTTTCTCCTGCTCTTGCGTGGGTTTCAGTTATTATGATGACTTGACTTTCCTCTCTCTCTCTCTCTCTTTCTTTCTCTCGCTGTGGCACTCTCCCACTCTCTTTATGTTGCTCTCTTTTTGCCAACAAAACGGAAGCTATTCCGAGGTACTATATGGAGAGGCCAGTTCCATTTTGAAGCCAATTGCAACTTTGAGGCCAAATACTAAATTGGCAAGCATTTCCAGATCATAAACGCAATTTTATGGCCTGTTGGTGTGCGGGTGGGGGGGGGTATTTTCCATTTTGTATTTTTATTGCCAATAAGTTAACAATGTTTACTTTTAGTTGTTCGTTTTCTATTTTTAAACAATCACAACAGAATCTCCCCTGCACTGATCCAAGCCCCAGCCTCCATCATCAGACCAACATTATCCATATATTTTTCCTTTCTTTTCTTTTGTTTACAAGCCATTTTTTTCGTTGTATTCTTTGGGTTAAAAAGAAAAATGAGAAATATACGAGTATACGTAGTATGTGTGTGTTTTCAAACGGGCAAAGAGAAAGAGAGAAACAGTGAAACAACGAGACCAAGTTTTTGTGTGTGTGCGTGTGTGTGTGTGTGTGTGTGTGTGTGGGTGAAAGGGAAAGAGAGAGCATCTTGTGTGTGTCTCTGCGCCTGCTCATGGGACCCTGGGCACCCGCTTGGGCTTAGGTTTTGGTTTTGGTTTTGGTTTTGGAGGGGCCTTAGGATTCAGATTGGGATTGGTTCGGGTCGAGTCGAGTCTACGAGTGGGGCTACGTTGTCTCGGCTCAACATCAAACATTTTTTGCCTTATGAGCAGTTTATAATTTTCTCTTGCCTTTTTTCCAACCATCTATGCATCTATACAGGTATTAAGTAGAGGCTTATGTGTCCTCCCACTAAGCACTCGATTGAAGGTGTCTCCGGCTCGAGGTGTGTAAGGTGTCTATTTGGCAAGAATTTCAAAGGCATTCATTTGACTTATTGCCGATTTTTGCAAATTGATTGAAATTAATTAGTTTCCATTTGTAATTGCAATCAATGGGAAATTATTGCTTATTGCTGATTCAATCATTTGCATGTTCAGACGAGTACGAGTATGCACGTGGATAAGTCACGTATACAGCTACAGCACCTATAAATAGGTTGATATCGTCGCCTGCCTAATGTATGTAACTAATGTAACGCATGGTTTTCTTTGAGATTGAATGAATATTTTGACTTGGGAGACTACAGACTTGTGAGACAACAATATCTATATATGTATAATATATGTACATATACAAATTTTTCTGAATATTGTTTGAATTCTATGAATTGAAGATCTGTTTTTATATCTTGACAAGATTTGATTGAAAGTATTTAATGGTAAATATAGTTTACCTTTAAGCCCCGAATTAATTAACCTTTTGCAATTATTCAGCAAATTAATAAGCTCATATTTATGTCAGCCCAATATCAAAGGTAATCTGATTCATTTTCCCGAAATGCTTTAACAAATTGATACCTTTATATTTTACGAGTGCTTCCACTTATGTTTAAAATTGTATTTTATATATATCCTTGTACTTCTGCGACGGGAACCTGCTGCGTATGCTTATTATTAATTTAAAACATTTTCCATACGTCATGTGGTGCCTGAGGACAATGCTGGAAATGGGGAGAATTCGATTACTGGCACAAGTTGATTTATTATTAAAATTGCGTGTACCACACAAGTATTGGCCAATACAAGAGATCGAAAGCCAAGGCACGTGCAACGTATTGGCTTACATAATGAATGGCCGTTGGGGATGGACAATTGGGTGCAGAACACTGGTCGAGACTTTCATGTTGCTATTCAAATTAATTGCGAAACTCATAAAAAACTTTAGAGAGTTTTGGCTATTAGACCGCCAGAATCGCCAGCATCGGCAGCTGGAGCCAGCCCTGTGCCCTGTGCTCTGTACCCTGTGCATCCCATAGAAAAACCCCCCAAAAAGTTTTCTAATGGTGGCCCTGACTGAAGGGCGGTGTTAGAACGTGCAAGTGACCCAAAGTGCGGGCGGATGGGTGGCTGTGCCGTACAGGATATGCGGTGGGGGGTGGTTCTAGGGCCAATGGGGTAATTTATGTAGGCCCGCTAAGCTCTTCCATGCGTGAAATGTGATTATATCTGCGTATAAATACGCAGACAAGTGTGACCGTTCGTATGTGTATGTGCATGTATGGGAGAGGGAAGAAGAAAAGAGTGAGACAGTAACAGCATGTGTGATAACCAGAGATGCGAAAGCGGTCTAGCAAATGCAGCCGATAAGGTATTGAAGAGGGGAGCGCAAGGAGAAAAACAAAAGGTTAAATCTATTTCCAGCAAAATATATGTAGTTTTTAGACTTTATTAGAGGGGGTACATAACAAACAGACTTAGCAGAGCACTATCAAGATATGTAAGGGGTATAACACTACAGAACCACTCCAAGTCCACTTGAAACCTTACTGAAACCTCCCGAGCCAGACCCACAGAGCCCACGATAACAGTAGTGAAAGCATTGTTGCCGATTTCTTCCCAATTAAACGAGAAACGCAACAACTTTTGGATACCTCTAGCACTTCTAAAATCGAATGCACACATCTTAAAATACATAAGCCAAGGGACAGCTCTCTAATAAAATCTAAATCTGCAACCGCAAAACCACTCCGAACCACTTCGAAATCTATATAAATAACCGTACCGTAGTCCGCCAACCCACCTCGCAGACAGCCTTCTCCTCATCCAGAACAAGAGAGCACATGGCCATTCCCTGCTGATAACAGAAACAACAAATGCAAGCAGTGCTGCAGACCGCGCTGCCTTAAGCTGTGCATTAAGCGCGTCATCACACACACACACACCATCCCACCCACACTCCCGGACAGAACAAAGCTGTGTTCGTGTGTGTATATCTGTACAACAATGCGGCTTTGTTGTTGCGCCAAAAACCAAGCCAAGGCTTTTTCGCACGTTTTACGCCAGCAAAATGGACCGACAGATGGATGAACGGACAGCGCTGCTGCTGCTGCTACTGCTGCTGCTACTGCTGCTGCTGCTACTGCTGCTGCTGCTGCTGCTACTGCTTTCTCTCTTTCTCTCCTACAGACGACCTTCACTTTAGCATAACAAGAGCGAGGGAATAAGCTACGGACCATTACTGATTTTCTACCTTCGCAAAGAGTATTTCGATTTTAGACAGATTTTTGCAAACTCTAAGAAGGAGGGATGTCCTTGATCAACAGCAATATAAGAGCCATCAGCCTCTATGGTAACTATAAATCAATTTGTACTCTATCTCTATGAAACTTTCCATTAAGAATAGGTATTTATGATAACCAGATTAGACCACTATATCGTATATATTTGTATACAACTGGCCATAGTTACGATCGTTTCAATAACATGTATCATTACAAGCAAATATGTGTCATTTACTAATCTATGGATCCACTATCTCAACTAAATTAAAGCAGTATATCATGAGGCTGCCATTGGACCGATGTATCTGCAAGGCTATCAGAATGCCTTCGTCAACTTTTACAGGCTTTCATTTCATTGTGGCTTGCTGGCTGGCGAGATGGATGGATAGATGAATAAATTAATATCATAATCGTGGGCGGAGTGGGTGGAGTGGGTGGAGGCTGGTGCTGCAATGGAGGCCTAAATAGGCCAGATATGCAGCTAAAACAACTGCAACAACAACAACTTGTTGTTTTTCCTGACTGCACGCCAAGCAGAGCAATTAAAATATGTTTTTTTAAAAGCTTTTTTTTTGTCACTCAACAAGGACATCATGGGCGGCATTTCGAATCAGTAGTACTCGTATATATGTACACATGTGTGTTGTATGTACATATGTATGTCTAATTTTTGTTGGTATTTTTTGTACACTTTTTTTGTTTTTTTTTTGTATTTTTATGGGATTGTCGTGCGTTCGCCAGCAGCCAGCAGCAACATTCGCGGATACACACAAATGAAAATTCACAAATCAAAAAAAAGCAAAAGAATATTGCCACACACACACACACAGACACACTCCCACCCACAAACATACACATACACACACGAAAGAGAGACGGCGAATCAGGCAGGAAAAATTTCTCACGACTGCCTGCTTTTTTATGGATTTTCTGGGCAGGCAATCTGCTTTTCCTGGTGTATTTTTGTGGATAAAAAAATGGGTTTATTATTTTCTACGTTTTAATACTATTTTACCAGCAGGCACTCGTTTGTTGATCCTCTCTCTCCGCTCTTTTCAAAGGAGAAAGAGGAGGCACACGCTTACATGAACGGGGGGCATACACACACACACACACATACAGGCACACACTTCTGGGGCTTGTTACATTTTACACTTGTCGCCTCTTACACTTGCTTCGTCGTTCCGTTAGCCGCACCACTCTCGCCTCCACACTATTTAAAAAAACATTTCTTGTACATTTTTCTCTTTTTCAGCTTGTAGCTTCTTTGGAACGTTTTTCTCAGCTTTTCTCTGCTTCCCTTTCTGTGGCTATTTTTTTCTTTTCTGGCTTTTCTATTGCCTGCACGCACGATTGCCACAAAAATTTGGGCACAACTGCGTCCCGCTGTGGGCTCTGGGGGCGCTGCTCCGAGTTCAAATGCTCACGACAAACTGAAAGTGAAAAGCGACGGCGCCTCCGACGATGAGCATCAATCCGGGACACAAAACGTACGGCGGAGTCGGCTCTCACGGAGTCGGCGCTCTCGACCGAGCAAGTGGTGGCCACCGAAACGAAACAGATGTTGCTCGGTTGCTCGCTTGCAGTGTTTTCAAATGCATTTGCTAGGTGGAACACTGCACATATACTCATAAAATATTTATTCCATTCACTTAATACAAATTAGCTTGAGTTTACAAATATCACTGGATATCTACCAAGGATGTGGATGTGGTTATACCAAGAAAAGAAAAAAGTCTATAAATATCTCACATTTCAATTTCAATCTAAACGAACTTCTCAAAGAAACACAAGAAACAATTAACAGTGTCGATATCTATGCGAGTGGGGGTGGTTTTCGCTTCTATTTCTGTTTCCTATTTTGAGGAAGCTGGGGCTGCTGCTCCGCCCTCAGGCTTGAGCTCATTGAACTGCTTGTGCCATTCCAGATTCATCTTGGACACTGACTCTCCTCTTTTGGCAGCTTGCTTGCCGCTGTAGACCATAATGCCGCAGCCAATAACGGTCAGGGCGATCATGATGTTGGCCAGGCGGATGCGCATTTTGTTGCGAACACGTTCCATCTCATCCTGGCTGCAAGCATAAGGAATGGTAACTAGTATTAACCACCTGTTACTCGAGAAGCACACATACCTGACGAAAGCTGGGACTTCAGCCTGCGACTTGTATTTACCGCTCCATACCAAGAACCGTTTCTCCATATCGTTCGGCTGGTGGTTCTTGATCGCCTGTCTCAGGGGGTTGGTGGTGCCAAAGGAGCGGCGCACAAGGCTGCCAATTAGCGCAGATTTATTAAACATGTTTGTTGTTATGATTATAAAACTTTATGCAATTTTGCTAGTGCAGTGCACTTATCGATAAGAAATACGGTCTTACCCTCAGAAATATACCGAAGCATACCGTCTGGTTTTCAACATATACCTTAAATATACCGACGAATTATTTGTAGTCATATCCATCATATACCTCTACTTTGAATTCCGGTTGAATATTACATATTACACTATTACGTGCTTCAAATACACTACACGAAAATTATGAACCTTGACAAATTTGAACGCAGCTCAGGTGAAAGATATCGTGGTCATTTTGGAGAGAGCGTGGATCAGCAAGAAGAATTTACAAACGGAGGCTGAGTTTTTTCAATCATAATGAATGAAACGTTAAGGTTTACGGTATATTTTGAAGTCAAACATTTTGAATCGGAAAAAAGCTCAAAATGACTAGGAAAATGACAGCAATGTGAACGTAGTGATTATTGTAAACGATAACCTGTTTTATAATAATACTAACCAAGAGAGTAAAGAATGATCTTTTATTGAGGAAAATAGGGTTTTGTTACTTTCTTCTTTGGTATATTTAAAAAAAATAGACGGTGTCTTTCTGAGGCAAACAGTGTGTCGGTATATCGGTAAGTCCACCGGTTCTATCGGCTCATACACGCAACGCAAAAATGAGTGGTGCGAGCGTTATTTTGAATTATTTTGCCAAGAAACAAAAGCCCCATGGGCAAATTGCAAGGTTTGTATGAACCTCGCCTCGGCGTGATTTTTTTCTTCAAGCTATATTAGGCAAATGGGGTGGATTTTCACTCGTATGCGTTGGATTCCTGAATTGGTTTGCCTCTGGTCCATACCCTCTTTTTCCTCTCATTATGTAGCAAATGTGTAGTTACCGTGCAGTCACCGTGTAGTTTCTTTCTCTTTTCGCGTGCGTGTAAAAAAATCATTAAATCAAATAAATCAATTTTTTCTGCGTGCCGCTTGCATTGGATATTGGATATAGTGATAGCCGTGATCGAGGTCAACTGTAGGATCCAATTATCCAACACAACACAGGCGAAATGAGCGAATACACAAAAATTCTGCAGCGTGAGTTCCCAGCGATAGACTCGGAATTGGTGAGCTATGTTGTTGGAGTGCTGGCCGGCAGCGTGGAAGATTTTGAAACGTGCGATGATATCTTCGACGCCGTGGGCGATATCCTGCAAAGTGTGGCCGGTGACCGGCCGGAGGAGAGTATTCGGGACATATGCGAGGAGTTCTTCAACATAATGAAGAACAATAGCACAAATGTGGAGCGGAAGGTGCTGAATGCCCCCGTAAACATAGAGGAGATGGCCAAGAACATGGAGCGTATGGACATGGATCTGCAGAGCATATGGGTGGTCAACAAGGATGGGGCCAATGTGAGTGTGAAGCCGACCAGAGTCGAAATCTAATTGTCATTGCCAATCTCGATCTCCCTAAAGAAAGTAGACTCGAAGAAGCTGGAGAAGGCGGAAGCCAAGCTGCAACAGAAGCAGGAGAAGCGTCAGGAGGTGAACAAGCATGGCATGATTCCCGTAGCAGTGAAACTGCAAACGGCTACCGCCTCCCAGGTTACCAATAAGAAGAACACTAAATTGGATCAAAAGGGTCTGAATCGTTCCATGGACATCAAAATTGAGAACTTTGATCTGGCCTTTGGCGAAAAGTAAGTCCAAAAATAATCCCCTAGCGCCCTCACCCCCAAGTTGATCAATCATGTTTTTTTTTATCACAGAGTACTCCTGCAAAATGCGAATCTGCTGCTATCCTTTGGGCGCCGCTATGGTCTGGTTGGACGCAATGGTCTGGGCAAGACCACCATGCTGAGGATGATTGCAGAACGACAACTGCAGATCCCCTCACACATCTCAGTGCTGCATGTGGAACAGGAGGTGGTGGGCGACGACACGACCGCCGTCGAAAGTGTCCTCGAGTGTGATACTGAGAGAACGAGGCTCCTGACAAGGGAAAAGGAAATCCTGGCTGCTCTAAACAATGGCGTGCAGGATACGACCCTGTCCAATGAGCTGAGCGAGACGTATGCTGCCCTTCAGAACATCGAGGCAGACAAGGCGGTGGCCCGTGCATCTGTGATACTTAAGGGTCTTGGCTTCGACGCTGACATGCAACTGCGGCCGACCAAATCGTTCTCCGGTGGCTGGCGCATGCGCTTGGCCCTGGCTCGTGCACTCTTTTCAAAGCCGGATCTGCTGCTCCTCGATGAGCCGACTAACATGTTGGACATCAAGGCCATCATCTGGCTGGAAAATTATCTGCAATCGTGGCCCACCACGATCTTGGTCGTATCTCACGACCGCAATTTCCTGGACGTAGTACCCACGGACATTGTACATCTACATTCCCAGGAGCTGGAGGCATACAAGTAAGATACATATATATGTGGATATGCGGCTGGCTAACAAATCTCATTATCATTCCGCAGGGGCAACTATGAGCAGTTCGAAAAGACTAAAACGGAGAAGATGAAGGCTCAAAGACGCGAATACGAGGCTCAAATGGCTCATAGAAATCATGTCCAGGAGTTTATTGATCGTTTCCGTTACAATGCCAATCGTGCCTCATCTGTACAATCCAAAATCAAGATGCTGGAGAAGCTGTAAGCCTCACAAATAATCGTTTGTCTTCACAGTTCAGATATATCTCTTTTCCCCTCCCATACAGACCCGAACTCAAGCCCGTGGAGAAGGAAACGGTCGTCACGCTCAAGTTCCCAGAGGTAGAGCCACTAAATCCCCCCGTTCTGGCCATTTCTGAGGTCTCCTTCCGCTACAATCCCGAAGACCCTTTGCCCATTTTCAAGGGTGTCAATCTGTCGGCCACCTCGGACTCGCGCATCTGCATTGTGGGCGAGAACGGAGCGGGTAAATCCACGCTGCTCAAGATCATTGTCGGCCAACTGAGCACCATTCACGGCAACATTGTCCTGCATCGCGGCCTGCGCATTGGCTACTTTGCCCAGCACCATGTGGATCATCTGAATATGAACGTGACGTGTGTGGGCGTCCTGGCCGAACTATTTCCGGGTCGCCCCGATGAGGAGTACCGTCGTCAGCTGGGTAGCTTTGGTTTATCCGGACCCCTGGCACTGCAGAGCATTGCCAGCTTGTCTGGTGGACAAAAATCACGTGTGGCCTTAGCAAAGATGTGCATGGGTAAGTGGGGGACTATAAAATCCATCTCAATCTCACAATCCTAATAATCATTAAACGGTTCAAATTGATTCAACAGCGGAACCCAATTTTTTGGTGCTCGATGAGCCTACCAATCACTTGGATATCGAGACAATTGATGCCTTGGGCAAAGCCATCAATGCCTTCAAGGTAGATTTCATCAAACTACGAGTATTCAAAAATGTGAAGCCCATTGTTATACTTTCAGGGCGGCGTCATCTTGGTCTCTCACGACGAGCGTCTCATTAAAGTCGTTTGCAAGGAGCTCTGGGTGTGCGGCAATCGCACGGTTCGCGCCATCGAAGGTGGCCTGGACGAATACAAGCGTGAGGTCTACAAGGAAATCGAAGCGAATAGTTGAATTGTATTGTATTTTATTATCCAATGAATTTGTGAAACAGACTAGCACTAAATTTATAACAATATGTCCGTGACAAAGAAAACACTTCGGAAATGGTTCAACAATGTTTCCAAAGATAAATCTTCATTGTGGTTTTCCTAAGCATCGTTCGATTGTGATCAAGGCTGACTCAGTTTCCGGCGAAGCTCAAATAGCAACAGCGTCAGTGCAGATGCCACATTCAGGCTATCAATGCCAGCTGCCAGGGGTATATACACGCACTTTCCCTTGCCTCCCACTAGGTTCATGAAGCTGTAAGAAATAGTGTCTAAGTCTTTACATGACTATTGAGATCAAAAATCTCTTACCTGTAGGCTTCTTCACTCACGCCGTGGCTTTCTCCGCCAATAATGAGCAAATTGTGGGTTCCAATCTGTGCGATGTCTGCATAATCGATGGCCCGGCGATTGGCCAGCTTCTCCTTATTGCTCTCCGCTATGAAAACATGGCAATCATCAGCTGCATCGGCAGGGATGGTCATGGAGAGCTCCTCCCATGAAACATCGTCGCGTATGGGTACGCGGAACTGACCGCCACAGCCGCCGCGCAGGGCCTTCGACTCCCAAGGATCGCAACAGCCGCGGGTGATCACCACTTGACTGCAGGGCAGTGCGGCGCAGGTCCTTATAATGCTTCCCAGGTTATTGGGCTCCCTTATATTGTCACACACGACTGTAATGGGCAGGGGCTGGCTGCCAAGCCGCTCTTGCTCGGCCAGGTTTTTCTCCAATCCCTTCTCCGAGGGCCGATCGAAGACGGCCAACAGGCCAGGGGGCGTCACCAACGAGGACCAAGTCTTTAGGTCATGTTGTGGCACTTTGTAGATCTTTGTGTGGGTCTCCTGCTGGGCTTGGGCCACTTCCTCTTTTAACAGGGCCAACTGATCTTTCTGGCTGAATATGAGGGTACTCATTTTGAGGCCGCATTGCAGGGCCTCCTTTATGAGGCGCCTGCCCTCGATGATTATCTGCCGGTTCTTGTCGCGACGCTTCCTGGACCGCACTGTAGTCAACAGGGTGCTGGTCAGCGGATCCTGCAGTGTGAGACGCACAAACTCCAGATTCAATTCGCTGTCCTTGATGACTGCTGCTGGGACTGGTGTTGGTCGTGGAGCAGGCGGAATGCTGAGCTTGGGTGGTGTCACAGAGAAACTCTGATCTTTCCCTTTTTTTTGGGGTTTAGCTGTTCCCTTATACCGATTCTTGCGTAAAGCTTCCCGCGTGCTAACCGGCTCATGCTTTAACAAGGAATGCTCAAAGAGATTGGCCTCTATATCCAGTGCATCTGTGATGTCGTTTTTGGGAACACCTGAGCTGCTCGATCGCAGCACATTAAAGTTGTTCACATGCCTTAAATTTGACTGAAAAGAGCGTTTTAAGATGTTCAAAAACATTATTGGGTTTTTTCACTTGTTGTTGGCAGTGCTGCCAGTTTAGCATATTTCAGGTTATATCTAGCATTTGTTATTTGTTATTATATCTGAAATTTGAAAAATTCTTATTTAAGCAATTTAGTATAGACATACACTGCATCGTTATTAAAGACCTACCTGTGCTATATTTTGTCTTTTTTAGTAAGTTTTGGCACATGTTTTTCGAATCTAGCTTGTATTAACCCTGAATTTTTGGCAGCCCTGGTTGTCATTTTAAAATATCGCATGCATGCAAATATCGAAACAACATAAAAAGGGCTGTTTTGTTTGTATCGAAAATCAAATATTTGGCGCAAATAAGAATTAATAAATATAATTAGAAATTTCATTCTTTATTAATAATAATTCATTATTAATTGGTTAATTAACCAACACAACTTCGGTGCTTACAACGCGCTTGCCAGGTGGTTTGCTGAGTTTTACCTCGCTCGCTTCCGCCAGAGCACGCACACTGCACAAGGAAGAGTGAGATAGAGCTATAGAAAGATTTCATTTGTTCCTTCTGGCTATAATACTGATCCGATCTGACTCAGGCTCCTTGCTCTTTGGATTGCCCATACGGAGGGTCCTCTCCTGGCTGGAAGGGAAGCTGAATGCTGATTTTGTTGGATTTTGGGAGTTAGCAATAGATAAACAATAAAGAGCAAATGTTCAAGTTTTTGAATATCTTTCTTTGATTTTCAAACAAATTTTTTGAGTGATTAAAATCATCGTATTATATCTACGTTGCTTTGCCTTTAACATCTGAAAATCGAGCATCACTTGGAGGAAAGTGCCGCTGCACGAACACTCGCCAACCAATAATATAAATATATTTTATACAGCACATTATTCTATACGAGTTTGAACGAATTTGTGTCCATGTGGAAGCCTGGCAAGCCTGATTTATACGAGAATAATGGCGGCACTGTTTTGGCCATTGCCGGAAAGGACTTCGTGGTCATTGGCGGGGACACACGTTTGAGCAGCGGCTGTGCAATTCTCTCGCGGACACAGACCAAGTTGTGTCCTCTGTCCAAGCAGATGGTGGTGGCGGCCACAGGCTGCTGGTGCGACGCCGTCTCGCTGACTAATCTGTTGAAGGTGAAGCAGCAGGGCTACGAGAACCAGCACCACAAGGTCATGAGCATCGAGTCCATGGCACAGATGCTCTCCGTGGTCCAGTACCAGCGACGCCATCTACCCTACAACGTCTCCCCCATTTTGGGTGGCATCGACCAGGACGGCCAGGGGGCCGTATTCTCTTACGATTGCATCGGCCATTTCGTCCGTGAAAGCAGCCGTGTCGAGGGGACAGCCGTCGGCATACTGCAGCCGGTGCTGGACAATCAGATTGGCTACACTAAGAAGGATCTCCTTGATGAGACATCCGAGCAGCCGGCGCTAACCAAGGAGCGTGCCCTGGCCATCGCCAAAGATGCCTTCATCACGGCCGCGCAGAGCGACGTGTTCACCGGCGACTCTGTGATTATCAATGTAATTACAAAGGATAGCATTAAGGTCGAGAAGATGCAGCTGGGCAAGGATGAGTTCTAATTCACTCCCATCGCCTTTTCCTTTAACACTCTCTCTTTCGTTTTCGTTGCTCATTAAATTATCATTTACATAGCACTATGATTACTTTTTCGCAGTCAAAAACTGCAACTCACAAATGCTCTCCAGCTGCGTCACCGGGAAGTGCATCAACAGCGACAGGATCAACTGCAACATCACCTGCAAGGCGAATCAGTTCAAGTGTGCGGCCTTCAATTGATGCCCATAGACCCCGAAATGTATCCTTCTTGTATCCCTCTTTCAGTTAAAAACAATTCGACGGGTTGTCGACCAGCATGCAAATGCTATGGCTGGGACTGCCACTCGAATGCATCAACGAGTGCGGTACCAACGAGTCGGGTCAGATGTGTGGGGCTGTACCAAAGTGCCGCCAGGATCAGTTCCATCGAAGATCTTCTGCTGCGACGACCAGTACAACTGCATCGATGGCTCCGCTACTGTGGTGGGCTTCTTCCAGACGGACGATGTCTTTGACACCCTCATCAGGCCCAAGGACACGCTGGCAACCATGAAGATTACATTCCGAAATTTCAGTTGTAATGAAAAATATACTTTTATTTCACTTTCAATGTTTGTGTTAGCAGTTAATAACAATTTCAAATTAATTAAAAACTAATCGCGCGTTCGGTTCTTCCGCTTGGATGTTTGCGTAGTTTCGTTAAGCATTCATTCATAACAAAATACAATAATTTAAAATAACAATTCAAAAGTCAAACGCCTTAAATTGGAAGGAGTGTGGTGAGTGGGGTGGGTTGGGGAGAGCTATGTAAAACAAGGTTAATACGGAAATGCGATGTAAACAATTAAAACATAAGAAATTCATCTAAATTGGGCTTCATGCGGTTGTTTAAATTCAAGGATATAAATAAGTTCTTAAAATATTCATCGTTAAAGGTATTCTTCATAATAAGTTCCATTTTAGCCATTCTCCAAGGCCCATTCTTCACGAATTTTGTTCATAACAGTTTAAAAACTAGAATTACTACTATCACCGCTGCGATTTATGTATGTACATGGCTACGGGCTATTATCTGTTAAGTTATGTTCCATAATATATTAAGCAATGCCTCTAAATGTAAGCATGCACATAGTATATGTACATGGCTGAGCCTCAGCGCAAACTAGGCGCTGGGCGTGACCGAGTTCGAGCTACTGCTGGTTTGGTTGTTGGTTTTGCGCTGCCTGGCCCCGCGGCCGGACCACAGGTACGACAAATCAATCGGCTGCTCCTGGGCCGTCTGGGCATCCATACACTTCAACTTTACGGTCTTCAAAACGTTCTCCAAGCGTGAGCGCTTCTTCTCGAGGACCTGCAATGGATGGAACGGATAAGCAATTGGTGGCAATTTAGTTTGGAAAGGGACTCGCAGTACACTGTACCTGTCCATTGGGCGCCACTGGGGCCACAACATGTACCGTTGTTGCTCCTCCCGTTGCTTCTGCGGCTGCCGCACTATTCCCACGTTGCTTTCTGCCTCCTGCTTTCTGCTGCTGCTGCTGCTCCTGTCTTCCTGAAGTCTTGTGCATCGTTGCGGGCACAGCTCCTCCTACTTCTAAATCAGTCTTATGCTTCTTCGTTTTCAGCAACGAGGGATCCACATCATGGGGCTGTAGAGACATTGAATTATTAGCATTTGGTTTACTTTGAGGTTGCAAAAACTCGTATTTAACATTACCGCATAGCTTTTGCAGATCTTCAGCTTTTCGGGGAATTTGCGGAAGGCATAGCTCTTAGTGCAGGCCGGATGGTTGGCTTTGGCTTTGGAAAAGAATCTCGCCGTCTTGTCCACCCGCAGCTCGCAGATGAAACAATGATCCTCGTCGGGGCACTCCATTGGACGGCCCTTGCAAAATGTGGTACGATCCAAGACCCAGCACCGACCAATGACTAGCTCAATGGGCACCACCTCGTAGAGGGAGACGCGAACCACCTCATTGGGATAGAAGCGGCGCGAGGGCTCGTGGAAGGTCTCGTGGGGTCGCAAGAAATGGTGGCCGAAAATGAAGCGTTTCCCATCATCATTCTTCCACAAGTGCTCCACTCGAAAGATGTCGCATTCCTGGTAGTCAATGGCCCCAATTGTCTCGTAGGTATGCTTCTGACTGGGTAGAATGTTGCCGGCCGCATCCTTGATGGGTATATCGCGTAGCACATACACAGCGTCGCCCTGTCGGACCTGCAGATTGCCCCGCATGAGGGTGAGGAAGTAGCGATGGCCCTCTTCGGTGTATTCGTCCAGGGGTATCTCCCGATCCACTTCTCGCGGCTCGCACCGCTCGCACTGGTAGTTGTCCGCATCAATGTCCGCCTTGGTGCACTCCGTATGCTGCCAGACCATGCACTTGGCGCACTGAATCATCAGACCCTCATCTTTGTAGAGGCCGCAAATGCAGCGAATCACATCCTCATCGGGCGATGCCTCTACGGCGGGCAGGGGCACAGTGGCCAGAGCCAATGGAGCCACCTCTGGGATCTCTGGGCGTTTCTCCTCCACCGGTGCAGCCTCCTCCTTCGGCCTGAAGCTCTGCAATGACTCTGACTCGCCCAAAATCTCCAGCAGATGTGTATAGCAGGCCATCTTTTGTTGCTCGTAGCACTCCAGCAGCTTCTGCACCGCCTTGGACTTGCCCTCGTCATCGCTATGCTGCTGCTTGGCCTCTGCAAAGAGTTGCAGCATCTGCAAATCGTATTCCAGTGGCGTCTTGTAGTGTCCCTGCTCGACATGGGCTTGTATTGACTTGAACTCCACGCGGGCGGCCGAGCCAGTACCTGAGCCATGAGTCTTTCCATTCGAGTTTTTCATGGCCTTCTTTTTCTTATTGCTGGGCACAGTCATCAGGAGTTCGGACATCTTCAGAGCCTCCACTGCGTTGCAAATGTCTCTCAGAATCACGGCCATTTTGGCCATCTTGTCCAGCTCTGGATCCTGGACGGCCTGGGTGAGGCCGCGGGTCTTCATGTTCCTTTGCGTGCAGAGAGCCGAAATCTGGGTAGCCAGCAGCGAGTTGGAGGATGGCGTAGAGGGTCGACTTCCAGGCAATCCGTCGCCATTGGAGGCCGCATGTGTGGGCGAATCAGATGCTGCCGCTCGCTTGGCCTGCAATTTGCGAATCTGTTTGAGAGAGATAGAGAGAGAGAGAGAGAGAGAGAAAGCATTAAGAGGCAATCCTTTTGGGGCTTATTAGATCGAAGCATACTTTCTCAAAGTTCCGGATTAGGAACGCATTAAACTGTTTGACCAACTTCTTCTCCTTCTCGGAGAGTGGCTGCATCTTGGCCTTGGCCACGGCCAGTGCAGCTGGGCTCTCCTTGCCCGTCATCCTCTGGGCATGCTTCTTGGCCTTGTGCTTCCGCTGGCGGCCGTTGCGGGCCGGACAACCCTCCACGGGCTTGGCCTCGACGGCAGGCAGAGGCTTCACTCGCTGCGACTTGCCACCAATCACGCCCCTGCACTGGGGCATATTGCAGCGACAGGGCTGACCCTCGGATGGATTGAACAGCGAGAAGTTGTAGTCGTAGGTGAGCTCCTCGCCCTGCTCGATGGGCCGCTTGGCAAACAGAACCATGCGGGACAGTCCGTTGACGCTCCACTTCTGCATCTCGCAGTTGGGCTCGCACGAGTGGTTCACAAAGCGACAGTCGCTGCCCATGCGCTGGCCATCGATGACGAGCCCCCCATCCAGATGGAGGCAGTAGTGATGCGTGTCGTTCAGATAGATGCTGGCCATCCGCTGCTTGAACTCCCGCTCGGTGACCACCTCGCCCACGTACTCGAGAATGTAGGTGCCCTTGGCGATGGGCAGCTTGGTCCGCACACCCCAGCCCTTGTCCAGCGTCATGAATCGCTCTACGCCGGGGGCCACCTCATGGCGTTGGATCTTCTGGTTCCTGCACTTCTCCGCCGCCGGGCAATTGCTGGGCGAGCACTCAGTGTAGACCATGCGATTGAGACAGTTGTCCAGGCAGGCCTTCTCCCCCTGGTTCTTGCAATTGCAGGTGGGGTGGTCGAACCCGGCCAGATTCGGACGCACCGACTCCGCATAGACATTTGTGCGGATCTTCCGATAGTTCCACGAGGGGACAATGTGCCGCGTGGGAAGCTTATCGTTGGTGTACGCCCACCAAATGTCGTAGGGCAGCTCAAAGTCCATTTCCGTTTGTCGGTAATACTTCTCGCAGTAGGGCGGTGGCGGCAGAAGGCTGCCACCCTGCGCAACATGCTGCTCCTCCTGTCCTGTTGCTCCCGGCTTCTTGTTCACCTTGTTCCCTGGCGGCGGCATCGGCGACTGCTTATAATAATTTGAGAACAGTCCGGCCACCAGGTAGTTCTTCTTCACCTTCGAATACTTGCGCTGGGAGGCAGAGACCGTTGAAACAGTCGAGGCTTTGTCCTCGCTGCCAGCATCACTCAAGCTGGCATTGTCGGGCGGCAGGGGATGGAGCGATTCACTGACGGGCAGAGGATCATGTTCGATGGGGATTTTCTCCAGGCGCTTGGCCTCTGCCGCAGCATCGATTTCCTCCTGCGTGGCGTGCATTTCCATAGGGGAAACCACCTCCACGGGCACTGGCAGAACTGTGGAAGGCTGTGGCGGGTCCACGACTGTGGCCTGCAGATTCTTCCTACGCTTCAAGCGAATCTGACAGCTCTTTAGGCCAACGCCTGCCGGAAGCTTGATGTTGTTCAGCGTCTGTGGTGGCTTCACCTGTTGCGGCGCTGCAGCGGGATGTTCCACTTCCACTTTTGGCTTGGGCTGGCGTCCACGCTTCTTGGCCGGAGGCTTCACATCCAAGACGGGCGCGGGAGGCGGTGGGGGCACCACAACAGGGAGCGCCTCCTTGTCTTTGGGTCTTCTTCCTCGCGGTCTGCCTCTGGGGGCCGGGGTCTGCGGACGCTGGAGACGCTCCAGGGCCACCACGGACAGGCGCGGTGCCCTCTGATTGCTCCGGGCAACGAAGGTCTCCCTGGCCTCGCCTATCAGGGGAACACGCTCACAATCCAGCAAGGGATTGGCTGGGATCTGGACTTGGGCGCTGCTGGAGCTCCTCGTTTCCCGAATGGGCTGCAAGGGCTCCTCGTCCGCTTGCTGCATGCCGAGAATGGGATGATCAACCATCACGACTGCTGGCTGCTGTTGCTGTTCCACGCTGACTTTCCTTTTCTTCTTTTTCACTGTGGGAAACCCAGTGCGATTGATCTTCTTCCGCTTCCGCTTGAGCAGGAGATTGCCGCCGGTCTTGTGGAGCAGTGTCTCCACCACCCGCTGACCGATTTCCTTTTTGGTATCCTCTTTGATGTCCAGGGCCGAGAGCAGCGGTGACTCCACCTCGGTCTTGGTAATGACGGATTCGTTTAGCTTCCCAATGGGAATCTGTATTTCCAGCTCCACCGATGGCTCGAATATGCCCGGCGGGGGATAGCTTCCGGATGGCGATTGCAGCTGGATCAAGTCCCTCGCGGAGTGGGGCACCTTCTGCTGCTTGGCTACCCCTCCGCGCCGCTG